CTATCTATCTATCTATCTATCTATCTATCTATCTATCTATCTATCTATCTATCTATCTATCTATCTATCATCTATCTATCTATCTATCTATCTATCATCTATCTCATTGTCTGTCTGTCTCTCTCTACCTCTCCCTCATTATCTATCTATCTATCTATCTATCTATCTATCTATCTATCTATCTATCTATCTATCTATCTATCTATCTATCATCTATCTATCTATCTATCTATCTATCTATCTATCTATCTATCTATCTATCTTTCTCACGGGTGTCAAACTCGCCACATCACGTTGATGTCATGTGACATATTCTACCCTTTTTTTTTTGCCTTCAGGGAGCTGGGGTGGGTGTGGCCTGAGTGTGACACATCTGGTTTGACACCCCTGTTGAAATATACTATATTATTACTTGCTGTATATAATGTATAAGGGGCATGTGAATGGGTAATTATGAAACTAAATAAACCAAAGGTTTGGGGATGGTGAAACTGAGCTGGGCAAGGATTTAAAAAAAAAAATCATTTAAGTTTGCCTCATTTGGGTTTTATCCATTGGTAACAGTACACAGTGAAAGAACAATAGTTTACAACAGCAAATTAGCTCACAGTGATTAACGTTGATACAGCCAAAGACCACAATCATTGCATGATTGGCCGCTTAGTGCCGAGTTTTCTATTTGCCAATGGCTTTTAATTAGCTCTCCCGAATGAATTCCTTTTGCTAGACAATGGAAAGCTGACTGTAGAAATGACATTAGTAATGGACCATATACTGCGGCTTAAAGCTAGTTGAAAGCCCTTTAAATGCATTGTTTTTTCTTCTCTGGAAACCGGTCCTTTCTCATAGCAATTTTTAATATAACTTCAGTCAAATTGCACACCATGAGCCATTAAAAGCAATTAAACTTCATTTCCACTATAACATATTGTTTAATTTACCATTCATTCAAATAAATGCAAGCTTTGTATTTTGAGCAAATTAAAAACAAAACTGTTTAAAAAGCAAAATCTTCATAATTATGTCTCAACTCTCGTCAATCTTTGAGGGTTGATAAAAATGGGACAGTGACTCATTTTTTACAGTTTTCATTCTCATTTTTCTTTTTGGTTTACTTGTAACAAATACAAAACCAACAAGGGAAAATGATGATTATACTGGGATAATCCTCCTGCTAATAAAAAGAGAGAAGAGAAAACCTGATCTGAACAAGGCATCTCACTGTAAATAATCAAAATACATGACGTTTACTTCAGTTCAGGGGTGGGTTTCTCGCCCCGTTCCAACCGGTTCGGTTGGAACGGGGCCGGCGGCGTCCTTGTGCACGCGCGC